AAAGAGGGAAAAAGGAAAGGCTCTAAATTATCCACTTACCAAACAAAGAAGAAGAAGAGAGGGAGGGGCGGCGGCTAGGTCTTGGCATGGCCACGGGCGTGGCTCGGCTAAACCCGAAGTCCGGGATTAAATTAAATTAAAATAAATAATATTTAAAATAGCATTTAATAATTAAAATAAAATCTCCACAATTAATATTTATTTAATATACACAATTAGGCACATAAGTTTATTTAGGCAATTAAACAAATAACAATTAATATTAATGGCAATAATAATAATAATAATATTAATAATAATAATAATAAAATCCAATTTATTCATAAACGAACGGGGCGTTACAATAGTTTGTTCAGTTTATGTTAGTTTTTTATTTCTCTTTTAACTAAAGCCAAAACCGAATTAAAATAATCAAATTTTTAATATTTGTAAAAGCGCACACTATTATTCTAATGTGTGTTCTCAATCCTTAATGCCCATTTGGCTTAACATTATAGTGTACAAACGACATTGGATAAAAGTAACAATGTACTCTTTGATTTTTCTCATGTGATCATTGAACACAGTGTTACGACAATGTGCATTCACATACACTCTAATGTGCATTTGTTCTATTATTATTGTGCAATTTGTATATAAAGGTATTTTTTATGTGCACCTCTATTTTAGAAAACTTTGATAATGTGTATTTAAATTAAAATTATTGTGCAGTCTGATAATCACTAAACTATACCTTGATTATGCCGCAACTTGTTGCATTTTTTAATCATTTATAAATTACAAAAATTATGTAATTAATGCTAATTTGGACATTTTTAAATCTATAAAATTAGGAGAAAATCTTGAGAAATTGCAATGTATGTAATTTTATGTTATTTTACTTTGTTTTTTGTCATTTTTTAAGCACTCAGTGCTTGTTTAAGTTTCTAGGATAAAAATATACAAACTCATATTACCAACCCACAAAATTTTCTTCAAATATCTTAGTCAAATAAAAGAAAATGAAACAAATCTTTAAAATATTTGAAGTTAAAGTTTGTTTCAATTGGTAAGTCCAAGTAAAATTTATACATCATATTACCACTTTTGTTAATAGTGATCAAGATGACACATACACAACCAAATTTAATATTTTGCAGATAAGTCCTTTGGACTTGTCTAATTTACAAAATGTAGGTCTTCCTTAATTGATTTTTTTGCAACATAATTGTTGTCCAGGCCAAATCCTTAATCTTCTAAATTTGGTGTCTGATTATTTCTGCCAAGCAGACTACGCAATCGGGATCTCGACAGATGCCGGCGTTGGGATGGGCGGAGATGGCGTCGGGGAGGGTGGAGATGGTCGTCGGCCCGTGCTTCATGGCCATCGACCAAGCCTCGCCGTGGAGGGAGAACAAGTGGGTGGCCGCCGCCGAAGGAAAGGCTGCTGAACTATATGCAGGCGGCGACGACAGCATAGGCAAATGAGTCCATGGTGGTGTCGATATTTCGTCCATCAAATTACCGTCAAAATTTGCCCATAAACCTTGTTGGGGCTCTGAATTTGCTTGATTCCATCGAAATTGATACCATCGATTTCTCAAATGCTCAATTTCCATGTCCGGCTACGGCTCATAAATATCGACATTGCCGCAGATAGGTTGAGCATTTGCAACATTTTGGATGTGGTCTTCGATCATCTGTGAGGATGGGGGCAGGAGATAGCGACGCTGGTCAGGTTTGGACGGTCGTGGACGCCGGCGACGGTGGGCGGCGCTGGAGATCGATGGGCTGGTGTGTTGAGATAGAGAGAGAGAGAGAGAGAGAGAGAAGTTAGAGAGACGGGTGAGAGATGCAGTATAACAGTGGAGTCCACATATGTTTGTTGATGATAGTGATTAAAAAAATGTATGTAGTGCCCTTATTGAAGTTTAGAATATTGGATTTCCTTTTATTCTTATTTCTTTCCCTAACCACTATTCTCACCGGAGCGCGACCTTATATATATATATATATATATATATATATATATATAGAGAGAGAGAGAGAGAGAGAGAGAGAGAGAAGACCAAATGAGAAAAAGAGATAGTGAAAGAAATAAGAATAATTATATATCATTAGATCCATCAAACTAATGGACATGATCAAGTCAAAACTTATTAATGTCAGTCAAACATGCTATGGCAATATCGTAATTAAGAGGTCATATTGTAGTCAAATATATATATTTGACCAGTTATTAAGGATATATTGGTCAAATCACAATCTCATATATATGATTATCTCTCACACACTCACATACGCTTCACACACAACCCACGCTGCACACACACACGCACAAAACACACACTGCCCACCTGCACACACAGTAACACACACAAACTCATAAGCCGGTGACCATGTTCTGAGGAAGACGACGGCCCCGGCCACGAGCCGCCACCTCCATCAATAGAATTGGAGAGATTGGCGACTGGGTGGTCCTCATCGACCTGCCGTTTTTGCTTTGACTGGCGGCGCCGGTGTGCGAGGCGGCAGATCTTCATTGAAGCGATCGCCGTGTATGAGCTGGAGGTGGCCGGCAGGACGGTGGCGGTCTGAGCGGTGGTGCATTGCTGTCCGTGAAGGGAGCAGTGGTGGCGCTGGCTGGGGACCACGTTGGCGACGGCGGCGGGCGGAGAAGGGAGGAGGAGAGTGTGCGGCGTTTCAAGTCGAAGGCGGCGACGACTATTGAGTAGGGGTCTCAGGCGGATGCGGCGGGGATGAAAGACTCCGGCGGCGGCGAAGACGACGATGGAATCGTGGTTGTCGCACCTCTGTCACGGTGGACGTGAAGTCTGCAGCCGGAGATTGCGTCGAGCCTCGGAGAACGGTGGTCGGTGGCGGCGGGATGACTGGCCGGTGGAGATGGAGTGTTACGGTTTTTGGAAATGAGGGGCTTGAGTTTAAAAATTTAATAAGCATTAAGGACTTTTTTGCAAGTGAAATATAAAAAGAATGGAAGTTACAGAAAGAGTCTTTTCCCTCCCACTTTCAATGTTTTCCACTTTTTGACTTTTCTTTTCCTTATTTTTTTTCCCCCCAATTTTCATCCATAAACCTACTAAGCCAATCGAATGGACCAGTTATCTAACCAATATTTACTCAACCAATCTGACCACAACAGACTTGTGATGCCATTCTGAACATTAAATCCATTGAAGCAGAGGGTAAGGATAAATGGAAGTGGGGGTTGAATAAAAAGGGGGATTTCACTGTGGCAGACTCTTATTCTCATATGATCAAAGTAAAGGTGCAAATGTTGGACATTGCAGAGAGTAGCAGTGCAAGGATTATTGATAAAATTGTGAGGGATAGAACTTGGAAGCTGAAAATCAGAGAGAGGCTCAAACACTTCATCTGGAAGTGTTGCACTGGCATCTTACCAGTTGGGGTAAATCTCATTAAAAAAGGTGTAAGGATTGATGTTATCTGCTCTGTGTGTGGGAAAACTGAGGAAACTATTGAACACCTGCTCCTTGATTGTACAAAAGCCAAGACTGTATGGAAGATGGCTCCAATCACTTGGGATGGGATTGATCTGCAGGGGGTTAATTTCAAAGCTTGGTGGTGGCAGATTTGTGCAATAAAGAAGAATGAGATTGCTGAAGCAAGGATTCAATTGTCAACGTTTATCCTGTGGTGGCTTTTGTTGGGCTCAGATGCGCAAATGCGGAAGATGTAAATTAAAATACAAACGTGAAATGGTGAACAATAATCTCAATCCCAGCAACTCAAGAATGACAAAAGAAAAACTCTTGCAATAACACTGGAATAATTCTTTTCTGATGTGGAAGTTCAGATTAAACTGCGACCACAGAGCATACTAAGAATATCCCAAATAAATAAAATATGCAAGAAATAAGACACCAAGATTTAACGTGGAAAACCTCCAAATTAGAGGAAAAAACCACGGGACAACCTCCGAACAATTCCACTATATTTTCAAGATAATTACAATATCTTTTCACACTCTCCTACACTAGAAATGTAAAATATAGTGACCCAGTGAGAACCCTACTCCTAAACAAGGAGTAATAGAGTTGATACCCAACCCGGTGTATTTTTTCCACACCCACATGATTTACTCAAACACTCTATTTTTATCTCACTGAAAAATAACACATACATAAATATTTTTTCTACTCTCTTATTCTCTCTTTTTTCTTCTGCTTGGTGCATCCTTCAGCAGCTGAAGACCCCTCTATTTATACTGAAGAAATGTTACATGTGAACAAAGAAACTTTCGACTGCAGCTATTTCTTTCCACTTTCTTCTCATGTGGACAACTCATTTTGATTCTCTCTCTTTTTTTTTTATAATTTTATTTTGTTTTGTTGTTTTGTGTTCAACCATGTGAAAAGTATTTGGCTGGATATGACAATTCTTCCCCTCCAGCCAAAGGGAAATAATCTGCCAATCTTCACATGTATTCCATGCCGATCAACTCGGCACAAAGCTGAAGCTTTCCTCCTGTTACAACTTTCGTCATCATGCCAGCAGGGTTTTCATCAGTGTGAATCTTTTCCAACCTGAACTGTTGTTCTTCCACTACTTGACGTAGCCAATGATATCAGACATCAATGTGCTTCGTGCGAGAGTGGTACATCGCATTCTTACTCAAATCCAATGCGCTTTGACTATCACAATGGATATCGTACCTTTCCTGCTTCATTCCCAATTGTTGAAGAAACCTCTTTAACCAAAGCATTTCTTTTCCTGCTTCTGTCAAAGCAATATACTCGGCTTCAGTAGTCGACAAGGCAACATATTTCTGCAATTTAGATTGCCAAGATACAGTTCCTCCTGCAAATGTAAACACAAACCCTGAAGTAGATTTTCTACTATCCAGGTCACCTGCCATATCCGCATCTGTATAACCTTCAAGAACTGGATTTCCTTTTCCGAAGCTCAAGGACTTATTTGCACTGCCTTTTAGGTATCTCAAGATCCACTTCACAGCTTCCCAATGATCTTTCCCAGGATTGGAAAGATACCTGCTAACTATTCCAACTGCGTGAGCGATATCTGGTCTTGTACAGACCATGGCATACATCAAACTCCCGACTACCGAGGAGTATGGAACACCCGCCATAGCTTCTTTTTCTTCTTGACTCTTAGGACAACTTTATTTGCTGATCTTGAAGTGATTGGCCAACTGTGTATTGACCGGCTTAGCCGATTTCATGTTGAATCTCTCCAGAATCCGATTCACATACCGTTCTTGCGATAACCATAACCTCTTGGATTTTCGGTCTCGCATGATCTGCATGCCCAAAATTTGTTTCGCAGGGCCCAGATCCTTCATTTCAAAGGACTTTGCTAATTCCTTCTTCAAATCACCAATCAGCTTCATATCCTGTCCCACTATCAACATATCATCTACATATAACAAAAGGATAATGAATCTATCACCTGGAAATTTCTTAACGAACACACAATGATCTGCATCAGTCTTGGTATATCCATGGCTCGCCATGAACGAGTCAAACTTCTTATACCACTGTCTTGGAGCTTGTTTCAATCCATACAAGCTCTTCTTCAATCTGCAAACCATGTGCTCATTTCCGGCCCTCTCAAATCCTTCTGGTTGCTCCATGTAGATTTCTTCATCTAGGTCTCCATGAAGAAATGCAGTCTTCACATCTAGTTGTTCAAGCTCCAGATCCAAGCTAGCCATCAATCCGAGTACTACTCGAATAGAGCTCATCTTTACAACCGGTGAGAATATCTCATCAAAATCTATTCCTCGCTTTTGTCCAAATCCTTTCACAACTAAGCGAGCCTTGTACTTCAACAACTTGTCACCATGTTTCTTAAGCTTGAACACCCATTTGTTTTTCAAGGCTTTTCTGCCTTTCGGAAGCTTCACAAGCTCATCAGTTTCATTTTTCACCAGTGAATCCATTTCTTCTTGCATAGCTTTCATCCACTGGATTTATCCTTATGAGTCTGTACTTCTTCAAAGCTTTCTGGCTCCCCTTCTTCAGTGATGGTAATATACGTAGTACTAGGGTATCTCGTAGATGGTTGGATCACTCGATTTGATCTCCTGAGCTGAGGCAGAGCTTCGAGGTCTTCTTGCTCGACACCTTCACCATCACCATCTTCTATTGCTGGCTCATCATCAACCTTGAGTTCTCCATCACACTCTCCCCCTGCTGTGGCATCTCCAAGAGGTTTGACAGGTGAAAGATCCACCTTTCCACTTGGTTCTCTGATTTCTGGTGAAGCAGAATCAGACATAGTTTCTTGCTCATGGAACACTACATCTCTGCTTCTGATAATTTTTTGATTTTCTGGATCCCATAACCTGTAGCCAAATTCCTCATCTCCATAGCCCAGAAATATACAAGGAATGGCTTTATCATCAAGTTTTCGTCTCTGTTCCTTGCTTACATGAGCAAAAGCTTTGCATCCAAACACCTTTAAATGAGAGTATTTAACATCATGTCCGGACCATACTCTCTCAGGGATATCAAAGCCCAAAGAAACAGACGGAGATCGGTTGATCAGGTAGCACGCCGTTAGAACAGCTTCACCCCAGAATGGCTTAGGTAGCTTAGCCATTCTTAACATACACCTCACTTTCTCCATAGTGGTTCTGTTGATTCTTTCAGCCACACCATTATGTTGTGGGGTTCCAGGTACAGTCTTCTCATGCCTGATGCCATGCTCGGCACAATAATTCTCGAATTCATGGGAAGTATACTCACCCTCATTATCTGAGCGAAGACACTTCAAAGGTTTACCAGCCTGTCTTTCCACCATAGCATGAAACCTTTTGAAGTATTGAAAAACTTCACCCTTCGTTCTCAAGAAATACACCCACAATTTTCTTGAAGCATCATCAATAAACGTCACGAAATATCTGCTACCACCGAGACTCTCCACTTCCATGGGTCCACATACATCAGAATACACCATCTCCAACACATTCTCTTTTAGCTTCGAGGTTTTGCTGAAAGACACCCTATGATGCTTCCCAAAGAGACAATAATCACACGGATTTAGTTTTGAATCTTTGGCAAATGGGATGAGAGACTTTTTTGCCAAAATTTGTAATCCTTTTTCACCAATATGAGCCAGTCTTTTGTGCCACAAATTTGGCGAAGCATCATCTTCGACTACATTCAATCCACCTTTGATCAGCTTCACTTGAGTTATGTACAGTGTCGATCTCACTGTACCTCTAGCAGCTAACAATGATCCTTTGGTAAGCCTCCACGTGCCGTTACCAAAACTGTTAGTATAGCCTGCTAGATCCAATGCATGCACAGAGATCAGATTCAAACATAAGTCTGGTATATATCGTACGTCCTTCAGTGTTATTGTGCACCCAATATCAGTTTGAATGCACACATCACCAACTCCCACAATATTTGCAATGTTGTTGTTGCCCATCTTTACTCTACCAAAGTCTTCTTCTTGTATAGAGAGAAGAATTCCTTGGGAAAGGTTGCATGGTATGATGCTGCTGAGTCAATGACCCATTCAACACATGAATCTGCAACGTGACACTCTTCTTCTTTAACAGAGAGCAACACCACTTCCCCATTGATCACAGGGGTTGCGGTATTTTCACCGTTCTCTGATTTGTTGTTCCTCCAACCTCTGTTCTTCCAGGCTTTGCAGTTTCTTTTGATATGCCCTTCTTCACCGCAGTGATAACACTTGAATTTTTTCCTGGGTTGAGATTGTGATTTATCTCTGGCTTTGCTATTTCGACCTCTGCTTTTATTTCTCCCCCTGGTTTCTATGACCAGGGCATGGGAACTGCTTGCCCCTGAGTCTTTTCTTCGTGTTTCTTCATTAAACATATTGTCTTTGACTTGGGTCAAAGTCAGTTTTCCCTCAGGAGCAGAGTTGCTCAACGAGACCACCAGAGTCTCCCAACTATCCGATAAAGAACTCAAAAGTAACAGCACCTGTAGCTCTTCATCAAGTTTCATTTCCATGGTAACAAGTTGGTTCACCATGTCTTGAAA